GTGTGGTGATCGAGGTAATGGTGAGGTGGGTGGGTGGGTGTGACAGCAGGCAGCAGCGTCACGGTAGAGCCTGCACGCTCGGCCACCAGTACCAGCTGTGTGAGGGTGTTGGTGGTGGTGCCAGGTGTTAGCCTCGGGGCACCTCACCCAGAGAGGAGGCTGGTGGTACAGGTGAAGCACACGAGACATAGACTCTGAAATACACGGGCGAAAGAAGCACTTCAAACCCCAGTCCTGTAACCCACCTTCCATCTGCCACAGAGACACGGCGTCAGGTATCACAAACGTGGGCGAGCTGAGACAGGTACGGGTATATCCCCCTTATGTTGTGCCGGTGCGCCAGGCCCCACACACCGGAAGTATGATAGCACCAAGCGCCAGGTTCACAGACGCCGCTGTTGTCCGCCTCTGCTGCAACAGCCAGGCATCAAATAAACACTCTCTCATATATAGCAAGCCGCGCCTTCGTTACGGCTATTAAAATAATGCCACACTATAATAACACGGGGAGAGAGTGTCACGAGGGCACTAATTGTTGGGATTGAACAACAGGTCAACAGGTACGTGTAATTGCCCCACCTGTTAGGCAAACACATTAATTAACGTCATAATCCTTTCATTGGACACCGGCCTCGTAAGGTAAACAGCCTCCCATGGATGGCTAATGTGTAATGGTTTCCTCGCTGGCAGGTGTAGCGCAGTGTACCGTCAGGGTGTTGGCAGCTGTAGCGCAGTGTACCGTCAGGGTGTTGGCAGGTGTAGCGCAGTGTACCGTCAGGGTGTTGGCAGGTGTAGCGCAGTGTACCGTCAGGGTGTTGGCAGGTGTAGCGCAGTGTACCGTCAGGGTGTTGCACTAGTCTTCTTATTTTATGGGTGTACCTGTATTGTGTGTGGGGGTGGGGGGGACAGGTGCCTGAGGGTGTGTAACAGGTGCGTGAGGGAGAGAGGGGTGCGTGAGGGAGAGAGAGGTGCGTGAGAGGTACGTGAGGGTGCGTGAGAGGTGCGTGCAGGAAGTAAGCGCAGTGACTGTTTAACGCTTATTACTGGTCACCTCTGCCGTCCACCTGAAGGTTGTGAGCTGTTATACCTTTCTCACACAGGTGTACTAGTGTGGTGGTGATGGTGTGGTGAGGTGGTCGTTATGGTGTGGTGAGGTGGTTGTTATGGTGTGGTGATGGTGGTTGTTATGGTGTGGTGATGGTGGTTATGGTTGTGGTGTTGCAGGCGGTGGAGGACGGACGGACGGACGGACGGGAGTGTAGGTCACCGGTCACGCACCACCTGTTGACGCCGCCACCCGAAACTCACTCACACGCAACACTGAAAAGAGAAACACAAACAAAGACATTCTGTAAAGTAAACCATTGATACATTATCTTAATATAAAGTTTTGAGTTGATGTATCTAAGTACTGGAGTTGGCTGTGTGTGTGTGGAGGAGACCTTGGCGCCAGGAGAGTAGTGTGCCGCAGGCTAGAGTCAACCACCGTCACCGCCACCGTCGCCACTCACCACCTACCTCTAGTTGTGCTCGCCATTACCTCCTCGCCCACACCGCGGCGCTGAAGGCAATAATACACCTCCTCTGTCGGTATACCCCAGAGTGACGGTCTTCTGAAGGTGGTGTGAGAGTGTGGCGGTGTGTAGCTTAGTGAGACGTGTTGTCTAGCGTCCTACTGTGTTTACACCTTAACTCACACGTGTAAAACTCCAGCCTTTTGTGGTGTATGCAAAAGGCCAGTGTAGCTATACAGTGTTGAGATGTTTTAATGTGTTGTGTGTGTGACGTAGGAAAGCTTTTGAAGTGTTTCTCGTGCTGTGAGATGTGTTGTAGGGAGTGTGGTGTACCTGGTATTGGGAAGAACAATACTCCCGTGCACCGTCACACTCTCAGCACACCACCGTCACACTCCCAGCACACCACCAGTCTCTCCCACCTGTACCACCTGCAGTGTCAAGGTAGGGCGTCATGTGCTTTCTGTCTTCTGTAGGTGCATTGGTTGACACCTTCACCAGTTTAGGTTGACACAGAAGCCAGAGCCGATTGTCTCCCTGGACGTATAAAAGTGACACAGAAGACCAGTGATTGACACACCTTCACCCGCGTTTGTTGACACAGCGGCCAGCAGGTGTAGTGTCTGGTGGAGGGTGACACAGTTGGGTGGCGAGCACTCTGAGGGGCTCCACTGTGGCCCTCCAACAGCGGTCGTTGCTCCTGGTCTTGTTAACAGCACCACGCCTTCCTCCTCCTACACACGTACTCACTTACCCCCCACACACACACACACACATGGTGGCAGTCTGTGTGAATCATCATAATGCTGTGGCGTCATTCACACTGGTTGATGTTCACCCTCGAGCGTAGTGTGGTGGGGGTGGGGGTGGTGGTGGTGGGTGGGGGTGGGTGGTAGTGGTGGGGGTAGGTGGTGGTGGGGTCGGAGTGCACCCGTGTGTAGATGATCGGATATTATGAGTCATGTTTCGCCTGGTGATGGTGGTAGCGGGTGATAGTGATGGTGGTAGCGGGTGATAGTGATGGTGGTAGCTGGTGATAGTGATGGTGGTAGCGGGTGATAGTGATGGTGCGGGTGATAGTGATGGTGGTAGTGGGTGATAGTGATAGTGATGGTAGCGGGTGATAGTGATGGTGGTAGTGGGTGATAGTGATGGTGGTAGCTGGTGATAGTGATGGTGGTAGTGATAGTGATGGTGGTAGCTGGTGATAGTGATGGTGGTAGCTGGTGATAGTGATGGTGGTAGCGGGTGATAGTGATGGTAGCTGGTGATAGTGATGGTGGTGCTGGTGATAGTGATGGTGGTAGCTGGTGATAGTGATGGTGGTAGCTGGTGATAGTGATGGTGGTAGCTGGTGATAGTGATGGTGGTAGCGGGTGATAGTGATGGTGGTAGCTGGTGATAGTGATGGTGGTAGCGGGTGATAGTGATGGTGGTAGCTGGTGATAGTGATGGTGGTAGTTGGTGATAGTGATGGTGGTAGCGGGTGATAGTGATGGTGGTAGCTGGTGATAGTGATGGTGGTAGCTGGTGATAGTGATGGTGGTAGCTGGTGATAGTGATGGGTGGGACTCAAATTATTACTATTATTTTTTCCTTAGTAATAAAATTGCAGACTCAACTTCACCCAACTGACTCAACCTTAAACATGGTCTGTAATGACTAACCCTAACGTAAACCAAGTTAGGTTAGGTTAGGTTAGGTTAGGTTAGGTTAGGTTCGGTTAGGTTTTAGCTGCAACAACTACCTGTGTGAAGGGACCAGTAGGCGTGGCACCTGCAGTAGTGTGGTGGCCAGCAGGTGATTGTTGTGTGGCGCTCAGCCGTGGCTACACTCACCTGTGGCGTACAAGAGCTCGGTGTTGGCTCGCCGACCTCCTGTGGCATAAGGGAGCAGTAGTGGCCAGGTATGGGGGCAGTCGGCCGTGTGTATGTATACCCATAAGAGGATTGTGGCGTGTGTCTATCCGCGCCACACACGCCTGCCACGCTAAGCCGCCACGCCTCAACTGTTGCTGTCTATCCTATTGGCTCTGGTGATGATGGTTCTCTACACCCCCTCTTCACCACTATCTCTACCCTTATGTTGCATCATCACCCTCACCACCATTTCCTATAGGTGTGTGTGTGTGTGTGTGTTGAAGTATTGAGGTGAGGATGACTGTTGCTGGAGTGTGAGTGTAACAAGGGTCTTTCTCAAACATGCATTACGGTACAGCCTTCACCTTCCCCACCAGAACACAAGTCACATGCACGCCATCAATCATTGTGTGGTTCCTTACTGTCCCCCGGCGACGGATAAGGGGCCGTAGTACCTGTCTGTCTGTCTGTGGATTAACAATGAACTATATTATTATCAGTAGTCTTTTTATTATTATGTTTTATCGTTACTATTGTTATTATACACACATTATATAGCTCTTACGGTAATTAAGATTTGATTTGTTTCCTTTTAATTGTTTAGTTGTTGTTTTCATTGAAATAGATATTTTTTTTTACTTATATATATCATTGTTTTATTGTGTTGGTGTTTTGTGTGGGAAGGTCAACGGTGGTGGCGGGAAAGTCTTTGTCACCAACGCTGGAGGTGGCAGTAGTGTTGCCACACACACACACACAGGGGGGGGTCAGGTAGGGGTGGTGTAGTTGTGTGTATTTTGGTTTGGCAAATTTAGTGTGGCCAGGCAGGGAGAGGCTGAGTTGTTGGTGTAGGTGGACGGTACACACCCACCCTGCTGGTGTTGTCACGAGGGCTGGCAGTAGGTGTCAAGAACTAGGTCATATGTCACGTGAGCCGAGTTTTACTATGTCTTGACACATGCACACGCAAGCACCCCCCACGCACGCACGCCCACGCATGCACGCACAAGAACGCACAACACATGCACACACACGTGCTCACGCATATACATACACACGCACTCACACACACACACACACACACACACACACTCACACTTATCAGCATGTTGAGGGTGTTGCAGGTCACCACACACCAGACGAGTGTTTACTGCACGCTGCTCCCACTAGCGGCCTTAACGTGGTGTATGGCTAAGGCTGCCTGTACAGTATTACGGAGACAGCACCTCCAGAACTGAGCCTCAGACGTGGTGTTAAGCTAAGACTGGCTGCTCTAGTGCCTCCCCTCCATACTCGAGGAAGCACTTGGTGGTCACACACTTGACTGTTCCTGCACCCAAACTAAGGGACTTGACGCTGTGTGGAGGTGTACACTGGGCCTCTCTCTCTATCACAGGAAAATCATCTTTAACGTCGTGGCCTTGTTGACATCACCAATTAATCACCTTAATAGATAAAACTAACTAGCATGCGCCCGAAGCTAAATCTTGCACACGTGTTAATATGAATCTAATGTATTGATGTTTTTAAGTCTTGGCAGTACAGTACAGTCCAGTGTGTTATATCTGATTATAGTGATGATGTGTGTTGGTGTGAAGGGACTAAGAGTGTCCACCTTGTGTTCTAGGTTCGCTGGTGGGCCTAACGAGCGACAGTGAGTGTGAAGACAAGAAGAGTTCGGCGTCGTCCACTGGTGCAGCAGAGGTGGGTCGGCCCTTCCCCTCCGCCTCCCCGCAGTCCCAGGGCGCCGTGGTCAGTTCCCACGACTACAACATGGAGCAGAGCAACGTGGCCCTTCTACGTGCTGAGCTCAAGGTAAAGTCACCTCTACAGTTTTAGTATTACCTCTCGTGGTTCAGTAGGCTTGGCGTTGGTCACTCTAAGCTGACACGCGGCCACTTAATGACCCGACAGCCTCAGCCGGTATGCAATGACTGCCTGGTCGGTCCTCTTGGCTATAAAACCCGTACCTGATGTAGTGTCCTGGTCTGGGGGCACCTCTCCAGGACTCGGAAAGGGACAGTAACCACCGCCTCTCCTCGGTCCTGGAGCACAAGTTCCAGTTCCTGAAGTTAGAGTCTTTAAGTTAATGGAGGAAGTTGGCCTCTTGTAGCCTTTAGTATGGTTTGGTTCCGGGATCAATGAAGCAATAGTTAATCCATAGTGTATGTATTTTATATAACACACACACACACACACACACACACACACACACACACACACACACACAGAGGCATCATAGCAGCATTATACATGAGAGTTGAGGCATGAGGGCGGTGGGGCGGCCATGCATCACAGGGCAACACACGACCCGCCCACATGAGTCGCCCTATTTATCTTAGCTGTGTTTATTGCTTCCTGTCTGCCTGCTAGCCGAATCTTCCTCCTACTGATTGAACATGTGTGTTTATACCAGCACCACCATCCTCACTTCCGGAGCTCTTGGGTGACTCCTGCTGGTGGTGGGTGGTGATGTAAGTACGCTGGGGGACACCAAGGAGGAGGTGATTGTGTGTGTAGGGGGGGGGACGCCCTATAGTGAGAGTGTGGTGGTGGGGGTAATGAAGAGCGTCAGGATGGTTCTCTCTCTCTCTCTCTCTCTCTCTCTCTCTCTCTCTCTCTCTCTCTCTCTCTCTCTCAATACTAAACAGGTGATGGTAGTGGTAAGAGGGTGGTGGGAGAGAGTCCTTGGTTGCGTCGCCCTGGTCTCTGCTGTACAAACAGTCCCCCTCCACCGCCACACTCCCTTTCTGCTGTGAAAAATTCTGACCCTTGACGATTTGTATCACAGTGCTGTGTTGTTTAGAGTAGAAACACACACACACCTTGTTCACAAACAGATTCACAAACATGATAAAATATCTTTACACGCGTTTTTCCTCTGTGTGTGTGTGTGTGTGTGTGTGTGTGTGTGTGTGTGTGTGTGTGTGTGTGTGTGTGTGTGTGTGTGTGTGTGTGTGTCCAAGGTGTTGCTGCAATTTACCCCAGGAACACCTCACCACATCACGCTCAGGAGACTTTGAGAGACAAACACGACACAGGAGACAGTCGTGAGACACAAACAAAACTTCTACAGCAACTCAAACAAAAACCTCACGCCCGGATAAAAGTTGACAATGGTGTGTGTGTGTGTGTGTGTGTGTGTGTGTGTGTGTGTGTGTGTGTGTGCGCTGTCAACGCTACGCTGGTAACATACATTAATCGATCTGTCAGTTTAGAGCGACGCTACACACTCCGCCTCACAGCCTCATGTACAGATATGTAATTAATGCCTCGGGACCCCTTATTGCAACCATCCTGTCCGTCTGTCTGTCTCTCTACCTGTCCCTCAGTCCTTCCCTTCCCCGCTCTATAATATCACAGAGCAGTTAACAGGTTATGAAATTCCTGGCGTATAAGGACACGATCACTTGAACTAAACATTGTGACGGTCGCTAGTAACTTGAGCCGGTGAGTGTGGTGAGGGGGAGGGGGGTGGCTTCAAGGACTGCAGAACCCAAACTCAGAAAAGATGTAGGAATGTTCTTAAAAAATTGTTGATCTGGGACATTAAAAACACAAATATTATTAATAGCACCAATACTAACCTGAAACTAGACCAATACCTTAACTAGATACGCTCGCTAAATCCAGGTACAACTAGTAAGGTAGGTAATGTTTCGTTGGGTAAAATTGGACACCTGAATTAATTAGTCTTTATATTTACAACTCCAAGTATTATGTGAAGAATTAAATATATCTCCAGGATGATTTACAGTGATGGTGAAGTGTAAATTATCCCGTGAGACAGACTGGTGAACGTAGACGAAGGTGAGAAAGAACGTGAGACAGACTGGTGACGTAGACGAAGGTGAGAAAGAACGTGAGAAAGACTGGTGACGTAGACGAAGGTGAGAAAGAACGTGAGACAGACTGGTGACGTAGAGGAGAGTGAGAAAGAACGTGAAACAGACTGGTGACGTAGAGGAGAGTGAGAAAGAACGTGAAACAGACTGGTGACGTAGAGGAGAGTGAGAAAGAACGTGAGACAGACTGGTGAACGTAGAGGAGAGTGAGAAAGAACGTGAAACAGACTGGTGAACGTAGACGAAGGTGAGAAAGAACGTGAGACAGACTGGTGACGTAGAGGAGAGTGAGAAAGAACGTGAAACAGACTGGTGACGTAGAGGAGAGTGAGAAAGAACGTGAGACAGACTGGTGACGTAGAGGAGAGTGAGAAAGAACGTGAGACAGACTGGTGACGTAGAGGAGAGTGAGAAAGAACGTGAAACAGACTGGTGAACGTAGAGGAGAGTGAGAAAGAACGTGAGACAGACTGGTGACGTAGAGGAGAGTGAGAAAGAACGTGAGACAGACTGGTGACGTAGAGGAGAGTGAGAAAGAACGTGAAACAGACTGGTGAACGTAGAGGAGAGTGAGAAAGAACGTGAGACAGACTGGTGACGTAGAGGAGAGTGAGAAAGAACGTGAAACAGACTGGTGAACGTAGAGGAGAGTGAGAAAGAACAAACTTATAATGATGACAGCAGAGTTTGTTGATATGTTTCGTCACCTCCGCCATTATCCACCCGACGTGACTCAACCAATCACGAGCTTCCTTTAGTTTGGCCCAGTTGCAAGCTTAAAGTGACGTCGCAGTGGAATGGTGGTGAATGAGGGAGAAGGGTGAACAGTGAGTCGCCTGGATCCGTTTAAATGTTTGGTACTTACAGTAATCGTCGTTCTTTCTCCCTCATTCACCACCAATTTTTCACCCTTCTCCCTCATTCACCACCAATTTTTCACCCTTCTCCCTCATTCACCACCAATTTTTCACCCTTCTCCCTCATTCACCACCAATTTTTCACCCTCCTCCCTCATTCACCACCAATTCTTCACCCTTCCTCATTCACCACCAATTCTTCACCCTCCTTCCCCTTTATGACGCCATCACCGTGTCTTGTTCCTAATGTGTTGGGTCAGCGGCTGTTATTATCCTCCTCCATCTCTTATGTCTCTTCTTTATCTCTTCTATTTTGGTTTTATCATTCTTCCTCTTTTCCTCACGTCTCTCCTCCATGCATTACATATATCAGTCTTCTCATGTCACTTTGTTCCTGCCAGCGCTCATATACATACATACATACATACATACATACATACGCGTGCACATTTGTCATGGACAGAGTTACTTACACAGAAATACGTATACACAGGTGAGGGGTAGCGAAGTGACAGGTGAGGGGTAGGGAAGTGACAGGTGAGGGGTAGGGAAGTGACAGGTGATGGGTAGGGAAGTGACAGGTGAGGGGTAGGGAAGTGACTGGTGAGGGGTAGGGAAGTGACAGGTGAGGGGTAGGGAAGTGACAGGTGAGGGATAGGGAAGTGACAGGTGAAGGGTAGGGAAGGACAGGTGAGGGGTAGGGAAGTGACAGGTGTGAGGGGGTGCAAGGGAGTGACAGGTGAGGGAGTGGGAAGTGACAGGTGAGGGGGTGGGGAGAGTGATTGGTGATGGGTAGGGGAGTGACCTGGTGGAAGGGTGGGGAGTGACAGGTGGAAGGGTAGGGGAAGTGACAGGGTGAGGGGGTGGGGGAGTGTGGAACGATGGGGGTTCTGTGGGCGGGTGTTGGGTGAGGTGATAGGAGGTGTTGGGTGGTGATGGGAGGTGTTGGGTGGTGATGGGGAAGGTGTTGGATTGGTGATGGGAGGTGTTGGGTGGTGATAGGGGTTGGGTGGGTGGGTGCTGGGTGGTGATGGGAGGTGTTGGGTGGTGATAGGAGATGTTGGGTGGTGATAGGAGGTGTTGGGTGGTGATGGAGGTGCTGGGGTGGTGATGGGAGTGCTGGTGGTGATGGGAGGTGTTGGGTGGTGACGAGGTGTTGGGTGGTGATGGGAGGTGCTGGGTGGTGATGGGAGGTGTTGGGTGGTGATAGGGTGTTGGTGGTGATGGGGAGGTGTTGGGGTGGTGATGGGAGGTGCTGGGTGGTGATGGGAGGTGTTGGGTGTTGATGCAGGGGTGTTGGGTGGTGATAGGAGGTGCGGTGGTGATAGGAGTGCTGGGTGGTGGTGGTGATAGGGAGGGTGCTGGGTGGTGATAGGAGGTGTTGGGTGGATGGGTGTTGGGTGGTGATGGGAGGTGTTGGTGGTGATACGGAGGTGCTGGGTGGTGATAGGAGGTGTTGGGTGGTGATAGGGAGGTGTTGGGTGGTGATGGGAGGTGTTGGGTGGTGATAGGAGGTGCTGGGTGGTGAAAATGGGAGGTGCTGGGTGGTGATAGGAGGTGATGCGTTGGTGATAGGGAGGTGTTGAATTTGGAGATAGGAGGTGCTGGGTGGTGATAGGAGGTGCTGGGTGGTGATAGGAGGTGCTGGGTGGTGATAGGAGGTGTTGGGTAAGTAGAACTGTGTATTTAAGTAGTGGTAAACACACATGAATTATCGCTCACTTGGTGGAACAAATTACAGAAGGTTTTTAATGTTCTTGGTGTGTGAAGGTGTGTACGTAGTTGTGGTGCTGGGAAGGTGTGTGCGTAGTTGTGGTGCTGTGAAGGTGTGTGCGTAGTTGTGGTGCTGTGAAGGTGTGTGCGTAGTTATGCGCCGTCCGTGAAGTATGTGCGTAGTTCGTCCGTGTACAAGGTGGTGGTTGTTGTGTGTGTGTCGGTTCGTCGCTTCTCAAGGCTGCTACCTCTCTTACGCCTCATGACGCAGCATCTAGTTCAGTTCCGTGGCACTGTAAACCTCCAGGCTGGGTTGGGTTAGGTTAGGTTAGGTTAGATTAGATTAGATTAGATTAGGTCAGGTCAGGTTAAGTCAAGTGAGGTTAGGTTAGGTTCCGGG